AATAATTTAGAAAAAGAAAAGCAATGAAAACTAAAGGAAAGAATAATTGCGATCTTACACAAACATCTCCCAAGAATGGGGAGAAAAAAAACCCAGACTCCCCAACTTATTTTATGAGATTGGTATAACTTGATGCTAATACCTAACAAGGCTATCTGGAGAAAAGAATTCTAAGCCAATCTCACGGATCTATATGAAACCATCAACAAAATACCAGCAAACCAAATCCAGCAATATCTTCATAATATATAACAACAAAGTTAGAAATTTCAGAATGGTGTAACATCAGAAAATCAAGATTGCATTCCACCACACATAAACAGCTTAAAGGGAAAAAATATGACTGCTATAATACACGAGAAAAACATGATAAAATTTAACATTCGATTGCAATAGAAACTCTGAGCAAACCCCTTAACCTGAAAAAGGGGATCTACAAAACATTGTAGATACCCTTTATTTAAATGCTGTGGCATTTAAATAAAGCTGTGCCAAGTTTATTTAATTATCTTATTGTGTTTTCCAGTTATAGATACCCTACAGGAAATGTCATATTTAATAGTGAAGTGTTGAAAGCTTTCCTTTGAGATTGGGATTAAGACACAGAAACCACTCCTATTCAACACTGTACTGAGCAGTGGAGTAAGGCAAGTAAAAGAAAAGGCAAAAGAACTGGAAAAGAAAACATATACTGTCATTAATTATAGACAATACATAATTGAGGATACAGAAAACCCAAGACTTCATTTACATTTTTATCATTAGAATAAGAGTTTAGCAAGTGTTAACAGACACAAAAATCAACATTAGAAATAGAACTAACTTTCATCTATTAACAAAGTTATTACAAAATGAAATATTAAAAAGCTACCAATTATAAAAGCATCAAGAACTATCAAGTACCTAGAAATAAATCTAATAAAAAATTATGACCGCTCTAGAGAAAACTAACATTTTGACATTTTCAAAAGCCCCAAATAGAGCGGATATATTATATATGTGGACTGGAAGACTCAAGTTGTAAAGATGCCAATTCTTCCAAACCTATAAATTCAATGCAATTCCAATTAAAATCCCATCAGGATTTTCTGGGAGGAACTTGAAAAACTGATTCTAAAATTCACAAACGGAAAGGGTGAAGAATACCAAAAGTAGAAGGACTTGCTCTACCAGATATCAAGACATTAAGCAAAGTAATAATAATTAAGAATGGTACTGGTACAAAGACAGACAAATCAATGGGGAAAAATCTAAGCAACCCAGAAATGAACCCATGTACATATGGTCATTGAATGAACCTGGAGAAAGTACAGACTTTTCAACAAAACGTCCTGGGATAATTCGGTATCCATAGAAATAAAATTAATTTTTAAGAATGGTATCTTTTTTTAAAACATCAACTGGGAAAATGTAAAAAGGACACTTAAAAGCTTTTCAATATAAAACATAAACACATGTAAAGGAAAAGTATCAGAATGCCATGAGACTGTCAACAGCAAGATGGAATCTGGAAGTCTATAGAACAGTGTCTTCAAACTGAGCCAGCTCTCTGGGTTTTGATTTTGGTTTGCAACAACATGGCTCAATGCACCAAGAAGGTAGGAATCGCTGGTTAATATGGAACCCATTATGACGCCTCCCTCAGGGAAGTGGTGAAGAAAACTGAGATCAGCCAGCATGCCAAACAGACTTGCTCCTACTGTGGCAAAACCCAGATGAAGAGAGACAAGCTTGGGGACCTGGCACTGCAGTTTCTGCATGAAAACAGTAGCTGATGGTGCCTGGACCTATAACACCACTCCTGCCATCACAGTCAAGTCTGTGATCAGAAGACTTTAGTAACTGAAAGACCAATAGGAGCTCCACAATTTGAAATTTTGCTAGCCTATAATAAATGACTTAATTTATGTAGTGAAAATAATCTGCAATTGAAAATTATGCCCAGTTCAAACCTCAATCAAGTAGGAAGAATAGAATAACAACATTTCCGATGTCTTTTAGATGACATTTTTTATGTCTTAGAATAAAGACATTCTAGAGCTCTAAAAATGTGGCTGCCACACTGCATCTTTACTCAGGAAATGGGGCCCTCCATCAACAGAAGGACCTTTATAAGGAACCCACAGGAGCCTGGAAAAACCGACTCAATACACAAGAGAGAACATGGAAATTTCCAGAATGATAGTGAAGCAAAGTCTCAGCTTGGAAAACAATCTACACCAGTGGTCGGCAAACTGCGGCCCGCGAGCCAAATGCGGCTCTTTGGCCCCTTGAGTTTAGCTCTTCCACAAAATACCACTTGCGGGCGCGCATGTACAGTGAGATTGAAACTTTGTGGCCCATGCGCAGAAGTCGGTATTTTGTGGAAGAGCCACAATCAAGGGGCCAAAGAGCCGCATGTGGCTCACGAGCTGCAGTTTGCCGACCACTGACCTACACCAATTATTTAGGTGAAGCTCAGAGCAACCAAACCTGGAAACAATGCTAAGTTTAATAGGGAAATACCTGCTAACTTTTGTAAATAAAACAAAATATTAAAAAATAACTTTGAAAAATGGGAGGCACAAAAGTACACAAGATCATTTCAATTTTTAA